CCGATGAGATTAAGAGGCTTTAACACATACTCCAATGGGGAAATCAGGATTGCCAAACTTATGGAGGGGAGTGTATATACTACTCAATATTGTAGTGTAATGACGTACCTTTTCCAAAAACCAAGCGAGTTAACGGAAGAGAGAATAACCCAGAATTCAAACTTAACCAAATCTTTATGAAAAATGATGGGGGTCGGAGCAAATCAGATTTCATATCGCTATGTAAAGGTAAACCCCGGGAGATAAACCTCTAGGTATATCATGTATATCATTACATGAAGACTGGTTCCTCTTTGAATTCTGGGTTATCACCTTCTCTTGGTGAATTGCAAAAAGGCAAAGTCATGTAAGAAAGCTACGCTCTTATTCTTATACTTGAGCTTAATTAACTAAAATTATGATGGACTTATTTTTAGGAGCTTTTTCTTTTTTAACCAGGTAGATGAGGTCACGAAATTGACATGGACTGATTATGCGAAAGGTTTTGGTCTTAAAAATAGCTACAGGACTACTAACTTCTACTACATTGGAAACGAAGTTCTGTATTACATAACCAATGCAAACAGGTCAATACACAACATTCACTGAATATTTTCTCACCAAAAGGGGGTGGGGTCAGATTTTTGAATATCATTAAATAAATAATAGATAAATAAATTAGGTAAATTATAAATTATGGCGATCGGGAACGTAAACATGCGAACCGAAACAATTTTGCGTATGCTTTTGAAGCCACCGAATCTTTCCAAGAAGAAACTTTCGCATGAAGGGGGGACCCCAGGGTTCAGAGAAAACATCCGTCTATAATATAAATCTTTATCGAGAGTCATCGTCGCTGAATGCTCAAATCGACCTGTAATCTCGGAAGTTATTGGGTTTCCCCTCCTCTTTTCCGCAAGCGAACACCCCAACAATGTACACCGCACATGCAGGGTGACCCAGAAAAACCAGAACCCTCTAAAAGTGTAATAATTAAATACCTACCCTATCAACCCAATTTTTTGTGCATAAACTACAATCTATGGGTGATAATATGATATAAAGGTTGTTTCATAAAATTGAGTATTTGTGATATCATGGATGATCTTAGAATGTGTCCAATTTTCGGAAAATCAACATTTTGACAAAATCATATCTTGAGATTTTATGGGAAATTCAGAAAGAAATTCCAAAGAAGACGTAAAATCAAGGCCTTATCTAATATTTTAAATGAAAAATGAAGATTAAGCAATGGTTAAAACACCTAATAAAAATCAGATGGCTGAAATCCCTGGCCTCTGAGCAAGAACACCTCAAAACGCTGTACAAAATTCTGTTGGACGAAATTTCAAAAAATCATTATGACATGTGATGTAAAAGTCAAATATTTAAAAATGAGTTGGAACAGGGAGAAGGGAGAACTGTTAAACACATGAATGAAAAATTATCAGTTTACACATTTCTAGGGAGGTTTTCTAAGAATGGGGGTATGAGAACACCGGAAAACACTGTGTGTGATTGCATTGAACGCAGTTCCAAAAACATCACTGAGAAGGTACAGTACAGCCATACATGAAGATGGCTTAAAGTTTGCTTTGACACTTCCTCATTAATGATCTTAACCTCTATACTCACAAAATGCAGCTTAACAAAAAGCTAAAAGAATGTGATTGGTTTAACAATCGATGTGTAACCTTTTGGTTGACACAAAAATCTTACATTTTCTTTTTTTGTGGAAAGTGGGCACATTTTTAAATTGACCATAACAAGAATAATATTAAATCCTATGTAAAGAACTTAGTCTCACATTGTCATCCATAGATAGTAGTTTCGACTGTTCATGAAAAAATGAAGCTGATCACATAATTTCATTTTGGAGGGTTCTGTTTTTGGGTCACCCTGTATACTAATGAGATCGAATTTTAAAGTTTTAAAGTTCTTCAATCAGATCAAAAGAGTGAGTCACAAATGTTGCTTTAACCATGTTAACTACACCATTGTTCACTGAACTATATTCCTTGTTCAATTCTATTTATTACTGTTTTAGACAACGCCTAACAATAGGGATCCATACAGATGATGGCAAATACTATGAGGCAATCTACGATAGCTTTATGATAGAAAGCAAACATCATAACTACCGTCTCAATGTTGATGGTTACCATGGCAATGCATCAGACGCTTTTGATGCGACGTCCATTTCTAAATACCAGAATGGAGCCGAGTTTAGTACATGGGACAGGGACCATGACAGACTGCCAAACTCTGGTTGTATGAAGTATAAAAGTGTTGGTTGGTGGTTTAATAAATGTGGAAGTTTCCTCACTGGGAACAATTTCTATCCCCATAGCCATGGCCTACACTGGGGCAACATCTACAATATAAAAGAGGTGGTTATGTCAATCGCGCCCAACCTTGACTGAACATGAACTGATTTTTGCGATTAGATGTAATACAGTGCATTCTATATTCAAAATAATTAAAAAATAAAAAAACATTTTGCCAGTACTTTAATGATGCATGTTCCATTTTCTTGAGATTGTTTGCCCTCTGCATTCATGCATCATCAACCTATGTTTTTCATGTGATCAGTAAAACTACAATTGAAATGTGTTTTTTTCAATTTCCACTAGAAAAAACATTTTTGTAGAAAAAACTTATACCTTACATGTAACCGATGAACGAACTAGTGTCGAAATGGCCAAATTGGCGTACTGTAAACTTAAATTATGCTGCGGCTATTGAATCTTTAGGTCAGGCTTTGGAATTAAGGAATTACAAGTATTTTTGTATTCACATCAAAAACAAAATAGCAAGGTACTATATCCATTTTGAAATGCCATATGGTTTTTACCAAATATGAAGAAATAAAAGCACCTATTCGTTTTTTGAGTCGAAAATTATAAGAACTGAGCTAGTGTCGTCACGCCCGGTGATGGAGGGGGATCAGGCGATTTCTGCAAGAAATCCAACAAATCCGGAAGCTTTATTTTTTCAAGAGAAAATTTACAACTGAATTGCCAAATGAATAGGCGCAGTGCATGGCAAAATATGTTAGGTCATCTAGTATTTCTTTGAACTGATACCCTTCTAAGATATGAGATCTATTAAAAAAGGCGCATCATCACCAACGTGCAAAGGTCAATGTTTTTGCTATAGATCGGGCAACAATGGATATTATATCTCTGGAATATGAAAAATGGGAAAATTTGGAGTCATAATTAAGAATGAATTCAAGTAGCATGTCTTATCATGTCTTATATACACGTTACCCCCCCCCCTCCATCCACTTTGTACGATCAAAGGGCATGATGCATACACATGGTAGCATCATACATAGGAGTACAAGGTTAGGGCAATTAAAGATATGCTAAACAGATTAGTAGGTCAGCAATACGTAATCATGCAATGAATAAATCTGAAAATACAATTACCCAAATGCGAGTAGGTAGTTACCAGTTTCACCACCAGGTGGCTGATTCGGGTCAATTAACATGGCAGGTATATAAGAAAGTTCCCTTAAACTTGAATATTATCAATTTAAGTGGCTCAATTTTCATATAACCCTTATGTGTCTGATACTTATACTAATGAAAATATGTCCAGTAAAGCAAAATATTATCTGTCCACTCAAAGAAAAGATATTTCATTTTTTGTGATTTTATAGCATGGGGTCTATGGGGAATCTCCCCGAGCTAGAAGTCACATTTTCAAAGAAAATTAATTTTTCAAAGTTGATAAACACTTTTTAAAACCACATTTCTAGATGTAATTTTACATGTAGATTTCAAATATGATATTACTTTGACTGAATTTTGAATTTCTAATGACGTAAATCAAGATTATTTCTACTCGCATCTGGGTTATTGGTCAGAATGTACTGAAACCTGCTTGGAACTGAAAAACATTGTATGCTCTATTCCACACAATTTGGAGGCTTTTGAAATTCGCAGTAACAATGAATAAGTGCCTGTATATAATCATTGCATAGAAAACAGTTCATGTAGTGTTTATCAGATGTATTCACGGTGTTTTAGCATGACGGTTACGTCAAGGCGATTTGGCGGATGGGAAAGGCAGTATATCCTCTTTCTCACCTGTAGGCAATATTTACAGATAAGATTTCCTTTAAACTAGTTCCATTCGGTGACGTATATATGGATGGTTATAAAGACTGGGTCAAATCTGCCAGGTGGTCTACAAGAAACAGAAATAGGCATTTTTGTTATGCTTTAAATGGAACAAGTTTGAAGAAAATCGGTGCAGTATGAAACTCGTAATCCTTGATTTTCAAACATCTGGTTGGTCAAAAAATCAAATTAACGGTCGAAGTTGCATATATTTAGAATATTTTGCACCGGTATAACCATGCGCAGTAGAATAATACACAGGGTTACCCTAAATTGTAGAAATTTGAATATGTTTCTTATAATTAATCGAACGCCCGTGCAGTGTCTCGGTATATATCACTGCACAGGAGTTTGATAATTAATTAATTCATGAATCCCAAGGATTTCACCTGTTCCCTTCCTGGCCGAACCTTGTTTTATTTTTTACAATAAAATAAACTACTCTTTTTGATATCTTATCATTTTTATTTCCATATGTTATTGACGTGAGAACTCAAATGATCAATGGGAAAACAATGCAAAACTTGCACACTGAAATAGGTATTCCAGCAGGCCTAGGAAAATATGGCTAAAAAAGATGCTACACCTAAGGGCTACAGGTGGACAAACTATTCCCCCTGAAAAGTATTTTAAGGGTCAAGATCACTAAATTCATGATTGCATTGAAAAGCTTTGAATTTTCAAGGGTGGATGTATTACCAAAGAAGAACATATGAAGAATTCATATCGTTCATTTCGAGTGATTATTTAGTGTCAAGATTTGTCTCTAGTGATAGCATGTTACTGAATACCTCATCAAGTGACCTAAACTACAGCAGCTAAAATAAGCATACGGCGAAATATTATAATTCAGTATGATTCGGAGAAGGGGATAATACAGTTATAAGGGATTAGCAATTTATTTATTATTTTACTATTTAGCACAATTCTTGAATTTGAAGATGTACTGCTATATTGTTTAATATGCATTATGATAGATCGATTTGATGGGAAGAACTAGTATGTGATATGATCTTTTTTGTCATCATTCCTAAGGAATAAAATAATACCATTCCAATTAATGATAACTCAATTATTGTTTTACTTGTGCTTGATATACATACTGGAAGATATGCTTTCAAAATTAGTAAACCATTACCAAAACTGTGGTTACCCTGTAGTAGAGAAAGGCACATTTAAAATGAATATCACCCCCTTCAATCTATTTTTACAGGTTTTTATGATTATTTCACATTTTTCTATATTTTGCGTAACCAGGACGGTGAATTTTCTTCATTTTCTTCAAACACTTCGTCTTACCAATATTTATTATATCTGTCAATTTCAAGAAAATCGCGCCGCTATGTTTGAAAATATTTCAAATTATGTCGTTTTCCCCATTGAGCTCCATTATAAAATGGAATTTTCATACTTAATATTTTAAAATTCTACGTTGTGAAAAGTTGCATATTGATTTGTTATTTAATGTAAAAAATTAAAAACAAAAAGGAATAAAGAGAAAATGCCACGGAGAAGTCTCATTAGCATCTCTTTAAATTGACAAACCCTCCACAAAGTAGAATTGTAAACACATAATCTAAATTCCATGCATTTATTTATAGATGCATTATAAAATGTAGTAAACAGAAAATAATTAGCAGTGAAGTTACAATATATAAGTTGAAATAAATTTTACTGGTGTTTTGTTCATTAAATTACAACTTAAAACAAGTTGAATTTTGCCTAAGGGTCAGTTAATTACATTGAGGGGCATTGAAGCAATCCATATATAAAACACAGATAACTGATACATTTGACCTGAGCAATATTCATAAACAAAGTTGCACACTATAGTTCAATATGTGTGAATTTAACGTCTGAAAACAAATGCTATGATATTTCTGTTTGTGATCTCGCCAGAGGGAGTAATAAAATGCAATAAAATCAAATTTAAAAAGTCTTAAAAATAACACTGGTAATGTTAGAGTTTCTCTTTATGAATTTCCTCCGAAGAACATTTTTCAGGATCAGTCGGACCATTGTCGTATTCATGAGTGCCGAACTTCTCTGCTTCTTCTAATGTCTCAGGAAGATGTTTTCCTTTTGTTTCTGGCAAAAAATAAGCAAGAATCCCTGCAACTATGGGAAAGATAGCTAGGAAAATATATGGTAATCCAAACCAGAATGTTTTCAACAAAGGAATTTGAGGTGCTATTAAAGCACCAATTCGTCCAATACTTGACGCACTTCCAAACCCTACATTCCGGGCTGATGTGGGAAACACCTCTCCTGTATAAAGGTTGCAGACGTTCAAGAGTGTCTTTAAAGCGACTGTGCCTATAACAGCAAGTATCGTCACAAGTATAGGAATACCAGTTTTTAGCAAAGGTATCATAATTATAGAACAAAGTCCATTCAGTAAGAAAAAGAAGACTATGGTGTTTCTACGGCTAAACTTAAATAAAGCAAAGTAGATCGTAATGAATGATGGGATATCTGCGACACACATTACCAATGTAGTGTTTAAGTAAATGTTCCCTGGTACTAGAGTACCAATGTTCAACAACATTGCAAACAATGCAAAACAGTATGAGAACCACAAAAACCATATACTCAATGTACGTTTCCGAAGTTTGGGCAAACGAAGCAAATCAAGAACCGAGATGCCATTTTGTTTAACTTTGGTTCCAACTGCTGTTTTTATTTCAGTTGTTTTTATTTCTGTCTTCACCATTGGCTTTATAATTCCTAGATTTTCTAGATCGGGGGATTTGTTGAACCTTGCAATTTTCCTAACTACAGTTAGAAAGTCATCGATCCTTTCTTGGGAAAGTAACCATCGTGGACTTTCAGGTATGAATAGGATACATATAAGTCCTGGGATGACAAATCCTATTGAGACTAACTGCAAATATATGTGATTCCTTACAAAATTGGCTACAGCAGGCAGAGATATATCTAATATTTTGCCTAGTGCCGCAAAGCAAGAAAAATGCGATCGGTATCCTGGTGGCATGGCTTCAAAAACGAGGACCCAGTATGTAACGTATGTACCAAGTGTTGCAACCCCTACTACGCACCGAAGCGCTAAAAACATCCAAAAATATGGAGCAAATGCTGCACCGGTAATACTTATCAATTTTACTATGGTGAATAATATGATTGTCAATTTTCGTCCAAATCTATCTGCAATGAATCCGGAAGTAAAGGAGCCGATTGACAAACCAATGATGAAGAATGTGGAGGGTAGCGTGTACATCCAATCATTATCGCACACAAGGTCATACTGGCTGACAATTGTTGAATGAAACTCTGAATGGTCATACTCCCATCCATACTGGCACGAGACCCTCGTCACGTTCTGTGGCCAAATAATATGGGTTCTATTCCATATATGGGCATTAATATTCCTGGAAATATCCGTAATATTATGATCATACATTTCACATTGTGAAAAGACTTCTTTCCCAAATTCATTCAGGGTTTTTGGAATCATAATCTCTTTAATCATAGTTTCGTTGAATCCATCTGGAATGTCAGGTAGTTTGCACCAATGGTCCATTTTGCCAACTACAAAATTAGTAAAATAATACTGCCAAGTATTTCCCATTAGAAATAGCACCATAGCAAAAATCAGTAACTTTTGATAGCGTCCAAATCCTCCAATCTTCACCAATAAGTCATCAAAGCGGACTGCATTGGGATCCATTGTACAGATTATAATTGGCGAAGTGTATATAGATGTACGTTTTTTTCATTCAGCTATATACTTCACTTTACATCGGGTAGTTCCGGTCATTTCAGATCAAAGGACCAATCTATGTATTTACAGCTGTATGGTTTATTGTACATTAATTTATGTTTTTTTCAATCATCCCTTCCATTCAATAGAATCGTAGCGTTTCGAAATCCTTCCAGTATTAGTAAATTAATTGTGTCCAACCCCTCCCGTGCTACTCCTCAGTATTATTTGTTTTACTTCTTCTTATACTAATTAACGTCAGCCATAGTGAGCCTCTGGTGCTTAATGTATCTCACCTTAAACTTTTACTATTGTTCTTGGGCTATTTCCCATTAGGCTCCTTCCAATGATAAATGTTTTCTATTCTAATAACACGGTCCAACTTACTTTGAAGATCTAGAAATCTCATGTTTCGACAGGTCAAGGTCAGAAGAGATTGGACAACTGTCTTAATATTCAGAATCCAAAGGGCAAAGATATCAATTTTGATATTGATTAAATGTAGTTCTGCATGTTTAGAAATTTTAATTTTGCAACTGTAGTCAAAATCAATTATCTGCTAAGGTAGTTCTGTACAAATTTCAACGTCTTCCTAATTCACCCCGGAATAGCCTGACAACGGTAAAGTCACAAATGGCGGACATAACCGTCGCTTCAATTAGATTTTCATGAATTGTATGTTTAATAGAGCACCTAGACTAAATTCCTTTTGAACAACAATCAATCAAAGTGTCTTGATACTCATTGTACAGTTAATAATGTTCTACCGTCGAAATGAAATCTTTAATTTAACCGATCAAAATGAGATACGGGACAACGGACACTGTAATTACAATATGCCGTTGTCTTTCTAAATTACTCAAATTCAGATTCCGATGTCATTGACGATATCGAAGACACTATATTGTGGCGATTCACGACCCAATTTGATCGAAAATGGGATTTCATATGATACATTATCACAAGAGCTTAATACATGCACAGAATTAGCGACGATAAAATCCGATGAAATGAGGACCAAGTGATTAAACAGTTGAAGCGACGGTTATATCCGCCATTTGTGACAACGGTATCTGACTTAAACGTTGTCAGGCTATTCCGGTGTGTAATTGGAGTCCAATGATATTTTCCGGGACACTTTTAAAAGTAGTACCCTTTGCAGAGCTCCATCTAGTTTATTTCTAGACTCTGCGTGCAGGGTAAAAAAGTAGATCACTGAATTTTCTTAATTTCCATACATTGTAGAAAATGACTGACAGTCAAATAATAAACTTAGTACATTTATGTGCTCTATGAAACTGAAACATGCAGATCATGATATAGGATAAAGTTATGTCAGTCTTGCTTCAAGACTGGACTTGCCCCTCCGAACCCCCTCCTCTAGTTACTTCACAAGTGCTTAAAATAACATGGGAAACTATTAAAGTCTAAACATACAGAACTACCTTGAAGCAGTTCAGTGATTTTGAATAGTGAAAAATTCCACAACACTCTATCGTTAGTTCATGTACATGTTTGTACATACAAGTGTTTGAACAATCATAAGGCTGTCAAAATGCCTTTTGCCAAGTTTCTTCCCCTCCTCTATCCATTTAGTTGCTAATCATATGAATTCGCTCTTCAGCCCTGACATACCACACATACATATCCATTCATTATTCTTAAAATGTTCGGCCATTTAATCTTTCATTTGACCGCTTGCGTTACTGTTTACTAGATATTACTCCAAGGTGAGTATGTGTTACGAAGGTGGAAACAGACTACATACTAAAGCAATGGCAAGGTCATAAAGTACAAAGGTAAACATATACACTATACATGCCAAATATGCCATAATCACCAGGTTGTGATCGCCTTAGCAAATTGGCAGTTTACTGGAAATAGGTGGCTCCATGCTATAGCATTTGAACAATGATTTGACGCGTGTTCAGCCTTGCGAGGGATGCATTTCGTGATATCATACTTTTCATGGATCGAAATGTTTAAAATTGAATTTTTTTTTAAAAAACGGTGACAAAACCTTTTTTGTTTGATTGTGAATCATTCAAGTAATTTTGTCCTGGTCAGCAGTCATTTTAGCACTGACGTTTAACGTATCCGGACATACTACTCAGTAACGTCAAGATTATGATACAACTTTTTATCAATAGTAAACTTGAGTTATCGGCTGAACAGACGAACCAACGAACGTCTCGTAATGGTAACCGGACAAGTCAGACCCAGGACAACTCGAACCCAAGGCATTTTTGACCCAAGACAATCCGGACCCACGATGAAATTGTTTTAATCAACTTATTCGATGAGAGTTCAGAAGAAAGTATTGAAGCTAAAGAACCAAGACAACTCGGACCACTTTTTGAAATAATGATTTTTATAGTTTAGTTTAGTTTATTTATTTATTTCTAGTGGTCAGTCTTACAATTCAATTATAAAATATAAAAAATTAATTACAATTTTACCAAACCCACCTTGGGCTTATTAACCACTGTTAACAATAGGAAATACAAAATTAATACACGAAAATCAATATCACAGGTTGTAAATGAATTGCCTTCTCCGCACAAAAGCCATTTTAATAATGACATATCTACATATTCAAGGAATAAAGACCGAGATTTTATGATTTATGGCGTAATATATGACGAAAACTTTATTCTGTTCATTGTTAAAAGACCGAAATCACGAAATCACGTGATACAATTTGAGGTCATATTTTTGACATAAATCATAAAATCGAGGTCTTTGTAACGATTCTAATATGATAAACAGACAAGAACACGCCTAACCAAATATACCGTCGTACACTTTAGATGGTCGGTTTAAGATTTAATAAATATTCACGCTTTTGCTAAAATAATAAAAATCAAAAAATCATAAGTGTACGTTGTCATCTCGATGTACGTTGTCCCATTGAACTTACATATCTGAATTCACAGTTAACTCTTATGTAGACATAGTATTTTTCATAACACTAAGGGACAGGGGGATCAGATTCATTTAAAACTGAAACGGAACAATCCAGTATTACTAATTCAACTAGATTGAACTATATTGAACCTACCAGATATAGCATAAATGGGATTTCGAAAGTCATCTTCGATTAGCTAACGAGTATAGATCTCTCCATGAACTCCTTAGGATTATTAGAATTCATAAAAGTGCAACATAACGTAACGTACCGACGCCGAATGGTCAAAGAGGTTGGAGGATAACACCCCATGGTCAAATATTTATCACCATATCAACACTTTCATAAAATAAAATAGCATTCAACAAGAGGTAAAAATCACTTTTACCTGTTTATCTGTACCAGGGATACATGAACATGTTCGTTGAACATCACTTGTTACTCATAAAACCCTTAATGCGTTTTTAAATTAAATCATTGCATTGTTTACATTTCAATTACAGGGACAACGTACATTGGAGATGACAACGTACATTTTTATTTTTTAAATTATACCAAATACATGAATATTTATAAAACCTTCAACCGTCTTAAATTGTGTAGTTCAGAGAAACATATTCTCATAAAAATATTCGGCACTCTTAGACGACAGGGGAGAAAATGATCAAAGAAAATGTGTAAAAAACAATTTACAAAGGGAGCAGGTTGGATCGTCCATCAAGCCCCAGAGTGACAGGTTAGTTGGTGTGGGAAGGGTGTTGCTTAAGGATTTAAGGAAGAAAGCAAGTGATGTTTCGGCTGTCTGTATAAGATCACTCCCTGTCACCTTTCTGCTCTCTACAGATTCCTGACTGCCCATTCCAGTTGCTTTAACTAGTCTAGCTTCCTCCTCAGTTTTCCTTATTTACTCGTTACCATCTTCCTTTTTGCCTTTGGATCTGCCTTAGACCAAGGGACCCTGCCGTAACTCCTGAGCCCTTTCCGCCCCTCTGCAACAGTTCCTACGATGTCATTCTGTCTCAGTCTGCTTTCAGCATTGCTGATATTTCGTTTGGTTGGATAATTACAGTGTTCAATTGTTGACCCCTACAGAGGTGGATAGGGCCTAGGATTGCAATTTTAAAGTGTGATAAAACAAACACTGCTGATGATCTCTTTGACATTGCTTTATTTCATATTCAAAAGAAAACATGAAAGATTGATAAAAATGTACATGTAACTTTAACTTTATAACCATGCAATATTCATAACTGCTTATTATGAAATCTTTATTTGAAAATAACAACATTTCAAACTTCTTTTGAAACTCTGATTAATTCACTCTTTTCTCAAAAAAGTGCCAAAATGGCTCACACACTGATTCCTAGTTTTAAAATTTTTAAGAAAAGGGCAATTTCTCCAAAATGAGTCAAAAGTAGAACCTGAGACCAATGATGCGGGCAATGATGTAGATTACCAGTTTTGTAGACAGAGAAATGAGAAGATGATTCACAATACGAGCCAAAAACTGGCTGAATCTAATTATTTTTATTTCTTGCTATTACAATAAACAACAGATTCACTTTGACAACTGATGTGCCAAATTACTGTTGATCTGAATGATTTTTTGTCAATGCAACTTGAAACGCTGACCATGTGAAGATGACATTGACAAGCATCGTTCTGTGTACTTCTGAGAAATCAGATTTGAGGAACGAAATAATGCATGAGGACAACTGTCTATGTTAGCACCATTGTATTTGAGGCATATATCATCAATTACAGAAATTGAGTGTCTTTTTATTCCTCTTCCTCTCCAAAAGCCCTCATAACTTGTCACTGAAATTAAATACAGCGAAATATGTTAAACATTTCAAAAATAACATCTGTCATGAAAGAAGACTTTTTGAGGATCATCACCTTTCACAAATGAACAAATCAACTGAACATCATTTTCAATACAATTTTTTCTCAAACCCTTCCCTCAAGTTATAATCCTTTTCAAGTGAACATGTTTCTCCAGTGAATACATATCTCGGGCAGATTTATCTATTAGAAGAACACATTTCTAAGGTAAACACCCTTCTCAAATGAATGGTTCTCTTCAGTGAGAATATTTCTCAGGTGAATATTTCTCAGAATAAATGACCTATCATCTCTCAAATGTAAATCTTTTAGATTATTCTGTAAAAATCTTTTAGATTTTTCTTACCCTTCGAAGTTCAGTCTTCCAACAATCTCTCGTACATTAGCAATGAGGCCTTCATTTTCCTGTGGTGAGTCTAGTATGATAGAATGTAAGTGTGCCATGTAGCTGTCTATTGTACTGGGGAGTGGGGTCTCATTGGTACCTGAATATACAGATTCAGTTTATGACATATGCTATACAAGCTACGTCTAGTATGATAGAATGTAAGTGTGCCATCAGTCTGAGATATGATATACTGTACCTGGTACATATGCTATACATAGGAGGTACAGATTGATGCTGTACAAACTACAATGGTTTCAAAAAGAATCATAAATGCTGTAGCAGAGATTATTAAAGCAGCTTCGATAAAGGAATACTTGTCTGATAAAATAATTACCATGGGCCACACTGATGAAAAATTTCAGAGTTTTACATATATGTCCATTCAGAAAATATACTATGAAATACATACCAGGTAAAGCCACTGAGGCAAAATTCGTGCTCAGAGTGTTTCGTAAAGATTCTAAATGTTGCTGTAGTAGGAGATTGTTGTTCCGCTGTTGCGCTGATTCCACTTCAAGTTTATCGCACGCTCGCTCCAGGTTCTCTATGTGTTTACTTAAGATGGCATTCTGTTCCTCGTATTCTGTATTCTCTTTTCGTAGAACTCTGAGTTCTGTTTCTCGACCTGGAAAATTTATGATTATACTATGAAATTCATCAAAGCAAAGGTAGACCATATGTATTCAGATCAAGGTGAGGTCACCATTCTGAAGCCTTGACCAAACCTTTGAAACATTACTATACACCCCAGTGATCTCCCAACAGTAGAGCGAGTGGTGCACCCTGACGAAAATCTGAAAATTACATAACAACATTGCAAATCTGCACCCCAAAAAGGTTAAATATTGATCAATTTTACACGAAAGGGTTTATTTAGAGTGAAAAGAAAGAAACCCGAGTAGTATCAAGACCATGGTAGTATTAACACATCTCCTTTCGTAAATGTTATCTTTTTTGGACACTCATTTCATACTAGTAGAGATATATTTGCAACTGTGTCATTTTTGGGTTAATTTTCAAAACATTAATAATAAATACTAGCATTCAATGCATAAAATTTAATACAGAAGATTTCAGATCACAAAAATGAAATTTTGATGATGAAATGCCTTCCTATCCAATTGACCCTTAAACCATATTGCCTAATACTATAAAACTAGTACTATAATCTTATGACTCTTGAATCAAACTATTTAATTGATACGATTCAAATAATTAATATCCCTCCATTTTAGCAAGAAAAGTGACTAAGGTTTTTATATATCAATATTGTCTTATAAAGTTCCAAAATTCAAAAATACGCATTTTCTTAGTCTTAGCAGATCAATAAATTGATAAAATATACAACGTTCGTAAGTTTGAAATATAACCTTTATTTTTTGTATGCAAAGGAAAAACGAATGTAAATCAAGTTCGCTTTTTAGGAGTGGGACCGGGATGGATAGAGGCTGTATCCATCCCGCCCCGCTCCTCAGTGATAGATCCCTAGATACAGTATATATTCCCACTCGTTATTTTACCTAGAACCTTAGTAGGTGTATAAACATATCATTTTCTAAGGTCTCGAGGATAGATCATTCGTTTCAATGGGAACAAAAATTTCAAAATGCATTTTCTCAAAATCAATTTTGCACTTATGAGTTAATTTCTCACTTATTTTCAACCATAATAAGCTTGACTGTATGGTATGCATTAGTGTAAATAATTTCTTGTTCAAAGATGCAATGGAAAATATCCTTTTATTTTAAATACATTCACAACTTTCCAAACAAACAAAACACTTCTTGAAACTAAAAAATTATATTTAAATCATTTTGATTGGGTAAGACTATAATATTACCCTATCCAGTGGTTTAAAATGTTGTTCAATCATTTTCACATTCAGAAAATCAATACAGGTACCAATAATGATTCAACACAAAAGTTGGATTTATTGTTTATTGAAATATTTTTGTTTCAATGTTGTCATCATAAAAAGATATACCCAGTATCTCAGGGCCGTAGGGAGAGGGGGTTCGTAGGGCTCGTGCGAACCCCCCCCCCCAAATCTTGCCTAAAAAAATTCGAACCCACCCTTTCTGGCAATTAATATGCAAACCTCCAAACTGAGTAAAATTTTTGCAGTCTTTCAATAATTTATCGTTTTTGATTACCCAAGACAATTGAGTTATATGTCAAGATGGAAATATGTGAGATTTATAGCTTCATTTTGAGTAAATAAGATTTAAAAAAAACAGAAAAACAAAAAACTTCTAATTGTGACAACCATCGAGTTCAGTCCCGATATTAAAACCTTTCTAAGAGTTGTCATTTACATTTGACTTCACTAGATGGTGTCATTAAGTCTCAAGTATCAATCTAAATCATCGTAACAATAAGGTCTTTCTGTTTTATATGGTTTCAAGGTACTTTTCTAGCGAGTTTTGCGCTCAGAGTAGTAATATTTCTGCCGATAGATGGCGTTTATTTGTTATAGCGACAAACAACCTTGAGCCGGCCAATCAAAACGCTGATTTCGGAACACGAAGTTGCTGCGTGATCTAGCTAGGTGAATCATATTTCTCTTGGACTTGGAACGCCGAGTCGAACTTTCTAATTGTGTTTTAACTTGGTTTTATTTTGGATATTCTTGGTTTATTTCATTCAAAAACAGGATTAATATTGTTGTGGATTATCGTCAACAACGTTGAGATACATCCAGCGGTGAGTTAAACTTTTTTTTGGGAGATAATTGAAGTTTTAAGTCTCAGAATCTGGGAAGATATTTTCGCCATTTTCAGCCAGTGCCTGTCGAGAAATTCTCGAACATTTGGTTCAAGTCGCAGCTTAATATGTGGCCATCTGCGATTCATTCCTAGTTTGTTTTCTTAGTTGCAATGTTAACTTTATGTGTCGGTAAAGCCGCACACTTTGATTAATTATTGTTCGTGTATTTTGATCTTGAAAACTTTGGCAAAAGGCTGAAGATTCGCACATGTTTATGATGCAAGAATTTTGCATACTTTTCTGTAGATTTTAGTTGAACATCGGGTATCGTTTAAGTACTATTTGTGAATTGTATCTTTGTTCAGGATTTGACAAGGATGCATGTAGATATTTGGTGCTTATTGTTCGTGTTTTCCGTTAATAGATTGAGTCATTTACGTGATTCCCGGGGATACACGTGGAATGCACGTGATTCGCCATTGTTATGAAAAGTTGTGAGCATTCTCAAACCGCGTCAATATATCTGTGTTAGTTTTACTTTAGTTATGTGTTAGTTAGATTGTTCCTTAGGTCACAGAAGACTGTGACATTGGACATTTTGTGTCTATGATCAATAATCCAACATGTGAATTACATGTATTTGTTAGTTATTTTGGACCACTGTATAGTGTAGTGATGCTACATGAAAAAGGCGTTTGATGCATTGGCTCAGAACATGAGTATGCATTGTAACTGATCATGCAGAATTGTAGTGATAGTTACTCAGATTTAGTGTTAGTGTACATATCTTAGTATATAGTTCTCTGTTTTGTGATTTGCAAGTATTCTGTGCATAAATTCTGAGGTTAATAGAGTGGCAGTAATTGTTATTACATTTTGAGGATCTTGCATTTTTATTTGGACATAAGTTCAAATGGCAGAAGTCTGCTTTAGGTTTTCATATAGAGCCAAACGTATGGTTTTCATTGTTCATTCATTAGTACCGTTAGGAATACGCGGAATGCCGCTACTCTTGCAAATACCATCTCCTATTATATTTCACGATAATTCTAGATTTAACTTTTTCATATACAGTAAGATAAATACCCATTTTTGTACAAAGGATCAATAAATAAGTTTTGTTTTATATTTATAGAAATTTACATGCTTTTCTTATGTTCAATTATGGGCTGAGCATAGTGAGATGCTGCCATCTATTTTTATGTCATTCAGATGACATATAGTTCAAGTGCTGCCATCTTTTGAACTTTGTAAAAGAAGATTTAATCCAACCACTGCAGAAGGCTGCTGTGGACAAGGCTATAACACAATAGTAACTTGATCGTTACAAGTGAACCCTAGAATATTTTTATTGTGGTGATCTGACAATTTAATTACCGCTCGTTAAACCGCCAACACCAAGTCGGGCCATTACAAAAATGGTGTCAGAATCGGTGGAATATTTTGTTATTGTGTTGTAGCTGTAATATCAGTTAATTATGTAACAGGTATTTTTTGTCCAAAAATACATTGGAATTATGGTTTGCTGACTCGTGTGTTCCGTTGTCCAAGAGAATATCCGGTCTCCAGCCGTTTGTATGGAGGAGATCGTTAACCAAAGCAAAACTTCCAAGCTAGAAGGTTTTGTTGAAATGTGTGAAATTGCACACTGTTTGGCAATGCCCTGATTGTGGCATAAATTATAAGTGTATCAGACGAACTGTTTGATGGTGTTGTAGGTAAATGTAAATCTTGACAATGTTGTATTTTGGCTGATATGTAGCTGTAGCCATTTTTATATGTCAAGTAAAGGTCATAGCATCTATGACCCTTGTTCATGATTAGTTTAGAGTCTTATATTTGAGCATCTGTTTATTATGCGCATATAGTTGAAGATATGCCCTGCAAGGATATGCCTTGTTTAATGATGTTTATTCGTAGTAGTTATATAACCCCTTTCGCACCATTATTTAGTGTACAATGTCCTTCTTTTAATAATGGTTCAAATGTATTGTGTTCACTTATCAAGGAGAAATGGTGTAGTATTCCATTTGGTATACTTGAATTATTGTGGTGAGTCCAATAGCCACAGTATGGAATCCAAGGGAATTCAGTTCTATTGTTCATATTTTCCACTTTTTCTGCATTCAGCATATTGAAAGTTTTTAGGCCAAGAGTCTAATGCAGTTATGTGTTCATGAAACAGTGGTAAACAGGGTGGTATAGTGATAGTAGGTATCACAAACTATGAAATCAGTCACTAGTAAAGAAGTAAACCTGTTCAACTGAATTAATGTGTTAGAAAATAACACAATTTTTTGGCATTCTCCTTTTGGATAAGTGCCTTGTTGGTCCAAAGGAACGGAACCATTGTTGGGACTAAGTGAGCAACTTGTTGATAGTATATATAATCCTATTTATATTGGCCTATCAATTGGGGAGGAATTGTAGTTTATCGATTGTGAAGTTGTGAGGAATATTCAAGTGAGCCTGAAATTTCGAAAAATTGGTATTTTGTAAAAAACCATAGCCTAATCAAAATGATCGCTAGGCCTAGTGTTTCGAGCACGGATATTTTGTCAAATCCCTTGGTCAGGTGTCTTAGTGCTTATAGTGGGTAGGTGTCTAGATTGTGCAACAATTGCTCATTGCCAATTGAAAATGTGAGTTATATTCAGGATTGTGATTGGAGTATATTAATCTGGTTGTTTTGAGAGTGCACGCTCAAAATACGCATAGTCCTGTCTTTATTCACAAGACCACCTTGCTATGGTAAATTTCGGATACGGGAGATAGTGGATCACAGAGCATCCACTTGATGTCGCACTTGCCTCATAATGTGAGTCTTTTCTGTCGGCCATCGGACAGATGAGCTTGGTGTATTATACCCAAGTAGTGATCATAATTTATTATGATGAAATCTGGAATGTGACTGCCAGA